AAAAAAAAACAAAGCAATAACCCACGTAATACATAGGGATCAGAATATCATAAAGACTGTAGACTGTAATCGGTGAACAGGAGACTACATAAAGTTTATTTTTTACTTTCTCAGTGGGAAACTAGTAAGATCAAAGATCCAAACCATGATCAGAGACCTGATAATGCCTTTCTTTTTTTCGTGAAAGAGTGCATGTCATGGACATGGATGCTGTATCATTAGTATTCCTTTATATGTCCATCGGCAGACTCACTGTACTGATGTCGTCCTCATAGCTGGTGACCTGTTTATAGTGGGGTGACCCTGACAACACCCTCCACGCTGTGATCCCGCAACGGCTTGCCCTGGACACATTACTGTCTCCAGACTCACACCCTCCCACCAGCAGCAACCTGAGGAACACACAAACACATCAGCAGCATGAGTCAGAGGAAAACACACACACATAGAGCACCTCAGCCCGTTTATGAGGCTGTAGTGGTCCAGAAGGGGCTGATGAAACAGGAAAGGGATCTGATCTGATCTACACATGTGAACAGCATATACAAACAAATGTACAGACTAGAGGTCGACCGATGTATAGGTTTTGCCGATTAATCGGCACCGATAGTTTTTTGCTGGAACTATCGGTTATCTGCAAAAATCCATGCCGATAGTTTTCCGTGTTGCGTCCGTTGCTGGAACGGCTGAGAAAGGTCTGCTGTCATTATACAGTACAAAAGCGGCCTCTAGTGGTTGAAATCACTGATAGCATGTGCTATTTGTTTAGACACGTGATACTGAACGCTGAACAGAGCGGGAAACTTCAGACGCGGATTTAAATGCAGCCGACAGAAAATCCTACCGCGCCACAGAGCACCATTCACATTGTTTTCCATTAAATTACATTATATTTGTCCAGAATTGTTGTTAATGCTTCATTTATAGAGCTATAATATAGATCGCGCTTTCTCTTTCCGTTTGCTCCATTTTTTAAACACCGAACTTCAAACTCATCTATGCCTCATTGTTCGTTCATTCTTGAAGTAAACTTGTGTACGTTTGGTGATTAAATAAACTGTTTTAGACCGCTGCTCGAATTGAACACGACGCGTCCGGAGTGTGTGTGATACCAGTGAGTTCTCCTAGACTCAACCTCTCAACAAGAAGTTAAAGTGTGAGAGTATACATAAAATATCCATATGTATATCAT